TTCTTGAAACCGAGATGTGTGAGTTGTATCTTGCGAATCGGTTGCACATTGATAATATGTAAACGCACAGTAACTTGGTGTTATAAAACATATTTTGTGTGTAATTCGGTGAGTGAGTGCAAGCGAGCATTGTATCAAAGTTTATCCGTTCCTTTATCCAAAGTAGGATAAAAGCATATCTTTGGGCCCCTCGATGGTTTAGTGATGACAAACGTAAATGCTCGGTCGGGCTAGGCTAATTTGATTTGTTCAATTAGTTCGTCATAAATCAGAAATCGAGAATAGTACAAAGAGAATGATTAGAAAATCATATCTCATACGATATCTAGAATGGAGGAATATATGATCCCTTATCTAAGGACACGCGTATCTGATAGATCAGAGTTGACAGCGGCTTTGGAAAGCTACGATTGCAGATCAGGATCTGAAGTCATACGCAGAATAGTTGTTAGACTTATCCAAGTGGGAGACTGTTGGATTAGTGTCTAGTGTCTAAGTCCATAACTATTTTGGTATGTACTTGACCCGATGGTGCATGGTCCTTTTGGGTTGCCTTCACCAAAGCAACTTGATTGGAGAAATGAATAAAGAGAGAGAGGATAATATGATTTATTAATATGTTATAAGAATAATATATTAAAGGAGAAATCATATTTGTTTAATTAATATTGGTCAATAATTAATTAAGAATTAGTTTTGTGATCAAATGTAATTAATTAAACTAGAGGGGCTGATTTGTAATTATGTGATAGTTACAAAATAAGGTAAGGATTATCTTATTTATATGGTGGACGAATTTAAGGTTGGAAAGCCTTAGAATTCGAGTATGATAAGGATTCAAGGATTATCTTATTGGTTGCTTAATGGATAATCAACTAGATAAGGATAATGACTGAAACCCTATCTCTACACCTATATAAACACCCCTAGGGTCATGAATTCGTGTATCCCTTCCCAAGAGGTCCTAGATACGAATTCTAACCTCTCACCTCTCTCTTTATACCTTCTCCATTTGCTTATGGTGTTTGTGAGCCATTAGAGGAGTGACACTTGTGACTCTAAGCATTCCAAAGTCAATCCAAGGAGAATTGGGATTGTTATTGCTACATAACAATCAAGGTATGATCTTAAACCTAATTACATGTTAATATGATTACTTGTATGCTAGAATTAGGGTTTATAGTCTTGGATTCAAAGCATGTACAATAGAGAAACCTAGATCCAAGCATTAGGGTTTGTATGAGCACATAGGATGTCTTATGACCAAAACCCATCAGTGGTATCAGAGCCTAGCTTGGTTTCAATTGTATTGATGCATTGTATAACTGGAAAATCGTTTTTTGGGCTTTATGGCTGAGGAACTCGGCGAGTACCACAGTGTACTCGGCGAGTAGACCTCAACTCGGCGAGTACAGTGTGGTACTCGGCGAGTTCGAGCGTCAGATAATGCTTATCTCGGATTTCTTGCTGTTTTTTGCATTTGGATAGTTACCTTATCATGTTAGATCAATATAAATCCGATTTTATGATATATATGACTATATTCTTGATCTAATTAAAGATAATTATCAATTAACAAGATAATTGTTTCCTTATAAGATAATTGATTAATTATTTTGAGTAAATTGATAAATTGTTTTGCAAGAAATCATTAAATAATCAAATATGGATAATTATGTGATTAAATGTTAATTTAAAATTATTTGTTATTTGATCCTTGTTGTTATGAAAGTTTCATATTTTCCCTTTAGGTTTTATAGTTTAAATTTGAACCCAAAAGTTTTGAAGTTTTGAAATTTAAATAGTTAAAACCCTAATGTTTTGAAAAAGGTTTCAAAACTTGCCCTCAAGTTTTGGAATTTAAAAGTTGATTAAAAGTTTAATTAGAATGTTAAATTCTAAAACCCTAGTAATGTTTTGAAAAGTTCAAATCACACCCTTATGGTTTTATTAATTAATTAAGGAGTATAATTAAAAGAGGTTTAATAAATCCATAAAAGTTTAGGTTAACCATTTAATTGAATTAAAAGTGTAATTGTTAAAGTTAACCATATAGTATTTTAAAAGTATAAAATCACCTATACTATATATAACATTAAAAGTCTAACATTATATATATGTATGAGTAAAAGTCAGTCTTACCGTTAGTAGGCCTCATTCACGAAGCTGGTCTATAAGGGGTGTTTAAGGAAATTGCCTATAAAATGGCGATTGAATGGGTATCCACTCTTACCCACCGCACTCTTGACTAGTGGAGGGTCGTTAGCCGAACGGGTAGGATAGGACGAAACCTTCCATTATAAGTATAATGAAATACAAAGTAACTAAATGTTTTTCAAATTCCCAATCTTAGTTACTTAGGCAAAAGTGAATTGATGCAATTCCATGAAATTACACTTTGTGCCCTTGCGAAGACGTTAGTGGAGCGTGTGTGGTTTACCGGCACACTAAATGGTTCTAAGCAAGGTAGCAAAGGGTGAATCAATGTTTGTCATAGTTCGATGGAGCGTGTGTGGTTTATCGGCACATCGAATAGGTGATTGTAACATGTGAGGGCACATGTAGTTTGCATGGTTATTCACACCCGCTTTGTGATCCTCGCATCCCAGTCACAAAACAAGAGGGGCATATCGAGATTTAAACTGCCATTGAAATGTTCAATGAATCTCAAAGGATTAGGAGTTTTCATAGATTTAAAACTTAAGTTTATTTTTCGTTTTTCATGGTGGAAATTAGTTCATGGTGGAAATTAGTGAATCGTCATTCACTTACCTTCAAATGTTCTGCAATTTGGGTTACGGCATCCCTCTCCGAGTTGTAGGATATTTTGTTGGGTCCTAGCCTTGGAATTTCATTTGGGTGATTTACCAAGGACTCAATCAATCAACTAACTTGAATTCGTTTTTCTCCCGATGTCAAAGTTCGACAACTATGGTCTTCTCAAATCCCGTGGAACAAGCATTCCACATGAAGATGATATTCCACGATTCGATCGAGGAACAAGAAATCATGCTTCACTTCCTCCTCCTCCTCCAATTATTCTCCCTAACCCACAAGATTGTAAAATTGAAAGGTTCAATATCACTCAAGCCCTTTTGGCAAGTAAACATAAAGAGGGCAAGTCGGTGTGTGCACACGTCTTAGGGATGAAGTCACACATTGATAGTTAAGAATGATGGGATCCGTTGTCGGTGAAGCGATGGCTTTGATTGTTCTTCAGTCACTTCCTAACTCGTATAGTGAGTTCGTAAGAGAGTACTATATGATGAACCACGACGTGACCTTATAGATCTCACCTACATGCTTATTGCTGCTGAATCACAATGGTTTGGCGCAATAGAAAAGCAAAGTTGATTGGTGAATCTGCCTTCAAGACCTCTATGGATATAGACAATGGCAATGAAAGACATGCAATGATCGAAAAGTTTGATCAAGAGAAAGGCGATGTCTGAAGTAGTTCCATGTGTTGTTCCAAAAGAGTCAATTTGCTTTTATTGCCAAGAGAAGGGGCATTGGAGACAAAGTTGCCCTATTACCTAAGAGATCTAAGAATGGGAGAGTCAAAAGTATGACTACGCTTAGGTAAGAATCCACTATCTAACTCCATTAATTTCCTATTCATTGATTCTTAATACATGATGTGATAAGATTGCATTTGAATGTTTTGAAGGATCGGTAAAAGAAAGGAAGCTTGATAAGAGAGCAGATGAATCTAATCACAAGAGATGGATCTCGATCTCATGGACTTGAAGATTGGATTTTGAGCTTAGATAGTTATGATAGAGTTGTTAAATTTTCTTTTACATAGTTTTCAATGGATTTTGCATTGTAAGGACAAATGTTTTTCCGCTGCTTTTATAATAAAATAAATTTTGTTTGACTTATTTATTGTTTACTTCCTTGCAATGAAATCATTATGAAAATTGATGTTTGCATATTTCTACAACGAATGGATATGATTCTTAGTT